ATCCGTGGATGCATAGACAAGTCTAGTCTTTTGATGACACCAACTCGGTTGGTGAGAAGCGTTCATGAGGAGCATTGCATTTCTGGTGTGTGGGATCAGTGATTGTTTTGGATTTATTTTGGGTCAGAGATTCGTTTCAATTTTACAACTTTGTTGATTATATTTTTGGTAACTCTGGAAAATACTGGATGATAACGAAATCATTGTACAATTCAGTTGTTTGAGAGATAAAAGATTTGGGAAATCGAACGAAGGTATGGTTCATTGAAAGTAATATTCCAATGAAATATTTGAAATTCTATACTGGTTTAACCAGAAATGAAACCAAGTTTAAAATTTTTGAATAGAACCCTGTATATTTTTGAAACCATTTGGTAGAATTTTTTTTCAATGATATAACCCTATTCTTTCAAAATTCAATATGGCGGCGCTATGACGTTATCTATGAAAGTATTGTCAAACAACTTTATGTAGTCAGAAACAAAAGACAAAGTATTTAATTTTTCACTTTCACATTTACTTTTTTTTATATCATTTTTTTTGTTCTACGCCGCCATTTTGAATAGAACTGGCCGCTTGTGATATATTGTTAGAAAAAGAATAATTGTATGTCCTATCAAATGGTATGAAAAAATATACAGGGTTATCTTTGAAATTTTCGACTTGGGTTTATTTTTGGTTGAGCCGGTATTTATTTTGAATTGTATCATCATTAGACATATCGATTTCAGTGAACAATACCTTTGTTTCGAATATCAAATTTCTTACCTCATAAACAACTAAATGGCACCATGTAAAATAAGTTCGTTGTCACTCTTTATAACATTTTTCTTATTAAACGTTATTATTATGCCTGAAAAAGTTGGTTGGGNATAATTACCATAAAGAAAAATACAATATATCAGACCACACAAACTAATCTATAATCAATTTGTCAGTTGCAATAAGAGTGGTGACTGATTTTTTAAATTCAAATGGAGAAAGATTTTTTATTTCTATTGCTATACAATTATAAACCTTGGCCATACTGTAGGAAAAAGATGACTTGAAAAGAAAAAACAATAATTTTCTTACCGAGGTTTCGAATTTATTCAAATTCTTCTTCAGGGCTCGAAAAGTAGCTTTTTCGTGTTGATAATATTACTATTTTAAAAACCATCAGACATATTAGATACATATTTAAAAAAAAATAAAAAACATTGCAACAACCAAATTTCCAAGACAACACCAACACAAAACGACATGAAACAAACGTTTGTTTTATGTCGTTTCGTGTTGGTGTTGTCTCAATAATTTAGTTGTTGCAATGTTTTTTATTAAAAAAAAATGTATCTGATGTGTCTGATGGTTTTTAAAATAGTAATATTATCAACACGAAAAAACTACTTTTCGAGTCCTGAAGAAGAATTTAATAAAATTCGTAACGTCGCCGTCGGCAAGAAAAAATTGTTTTTTAAAGAAAAAATTGATCCTGTTACCCAACCAATCTAAGCCGCGCAAAGTTTGGCATTACAGATCAGCTGGATGGGAGAATTTTCAAGACCACTTCCGAAATTTCCTCTGGCTACATGTTTGTTTCAGCTCATCAGATCCATCAACTTGTGTTTCTGCAGTTACGGAAGTTATTCTATCATCCGTGGATGCATATATTCCTTTTTCAATGAAACGACCTTCTAACGGCTACCCTTGGTTCAACAAAAATTACGATCAAGCTGTCGCCTCCAAAAATCTCGGCTACCGACAGTGGCGCAAAAATGTCAGTGCCGGAAACCGAAATAGCTTTGTTAATGCTCGCAACAGCTGCAGTCTTAGAATAAATGAAAGCAAAAAACTTCACAATCAGAGAATTGGGGATAAACTGCTTGCCAATCCCAACGGGTCTACACTACACAGTCGTTTTTCTGGGAAAGGCACCACCCACTATTCCCAAACTAGAATCCACAATGCCGGAAATTACTTTTCGACAGCGTCTGGTCAGGCGAATTTTGAAACTGATCAATATTAACAAGGCGTCTGACCCAATTCCCGAGAGGAAAAGAGGAAGTCCAGGGACACCCTGTATATATAAAATAGTGCAATTAAAGCAAATATTATTCACAAACTACTGAAAGTTCTCTATTGAAAACAATATTATCAGGTGAACATCTCAAAAGTCGATTTGACTATTGTTCGAAAGATTTAATATTATTTTTGATTTTGATAAATACTCACGGATCAAATAATAACTGTGTGATATACTCTATTGGCATCCTTGGTAGTTGATGGGAAAACACACTCTGCAATCCGATGAGCCACAGCATTGTTTGTTTGGTCACTGGTTCCGTGAGACTATTGCCAACAACATGAAGCTGAATTATGTTCCGTTTTTCTTCTAGTTTAGGAGCTTCGTCGGTTGCTGGTGCATTTTCTGAAAACACCATCTGAAAAATATTAATATATTTACTGTACATGGTAACTTCAAACCACAGCCGAAATCTTGAATTATATTTTTTTAAAGAAATTTATTTTTAAAAAATAATTACTCACATCTGGCCCAGTCATATAATTGGGATCATCAATTATTGATATAATTTGAGACACTGTGTCTTGAGGGAGATCCTCAAATTGTTCATCTTGGACAAATTTCCTTTTTTTAGTTTCTCGCAATGGTGTATCTGAGCTGCTGCGAACAATTTTACCTGTAAAAATGGTACTTCCAAAAAACTATATTTTTTATAGGCAGTTCTTACCTGAGCTAAGAGTTGAAGTTGAGAAACCTTCCCTATCTGTATGGCCTAAAGTAACTCTCTCGAATTCACACTTTTTTGGAGTAACAGGAGCAGCTAAAAAACACTCATGTGATAAGAATAATATTTGGCTTGGTAAACTTACTTTTCAATCTAGCATCCAATAACGACTGGAAATGTAATGACTGAGATTTAAATTCTGGATCCCAAATTGGGGAGTTAGAGGCAAAAATTTCCTCATCCAACTGATTCAAAAATGGGGGAAAATTAGTCAACAACATGACTCGTCTATCCTGGGGCATGGTTTCCCTTTCTCTATGAAACTGATCCATTATTTGTTTTCGAATATATTTGAAGATCGCCCTTAGAAGGGTTCTACCAAAAACCATGGTCGTGTCAAAGTGCTGTAGAGAATCACAGAAAGTTGGTACATAGCAGAACACAAGCCACCTGGAAAATTATTAGTTCACTGTAATAGTATGCAGTAATAAAATAATACATTTCTTATGTGTATGCATATTTTTTATATTTTCTG